CTGCAAAACCTGGCAGTGTGAACGGAATTTCTGGGAATTGCCGCCGTTGCGAGCCGGCTGCGCCCCCGGCTAATCCTGCTGGAAACTACCTTCCCTTTGTTAGCGGCTCAGTACGAGGACCTGTTCTGTTGAGTGGGCGAACGGAGGCTCTGGACCGGACACGGAGCGACGTGGGCGGGTCGAGGGGCAACGGACTGGGGACAGCCGAGGAGGCGAGAGACACTCTGGGCGGCTCACGACAAGGAGACTGAGTTAGAGACGGTCTGGAGATAGGAGACGCCGGCGTGGGCGTGACGGAGGACACGGAGACGGCGCGTGTCTGTTCGCGTGTTAGGTAGGAGACGGTCCGGCTCTGTCCGCGTGTTTTGGACAGTAGACAGCCAGTCTCTGTCCGCGCGTTCGACAGGAGACAACCTGTCTCTGTCCGCGTGCAAGACAGGAGACAACCTGTCTCTGTCCGCGTGCAAGACCGGAGGCGGCCTGTCTCCGTCCGCGTTTTAGACAGGAGACGGCCTCTCTGTCCGCGTACGAGACGGAGACGACCTCCCCCTGTCCGCGTACGAGACAGGAGACGGTCTATCTCTGTCCGCGCGCGAGACAGGAGACAACCTGTCTCTGATCGCGTGTGGGACAGGAGACGCTGAGACGGCTCATGCGTAGGAATTCAGCAAAACGCCAGCCTTCACCGACGCATCGAGACATGACTGGGACATCCTGAAGCGGAGCCGGCTCCTCCGAACCCTGACCAGGAGGACGAGAGCTTGACACAACACGGCGGGGCGGTGCTCCGGTGTCGGGCCGGTCGGCGAAGGGGGGGGGGATGTCTCGCCCTGTTGGTATGTGTGGTCGGCCGATGAGCCGGGTTCGATCAGGGGCGCCGCGGGGCGGTGCCAACTGGGCCGCACGTCACGGGCGGGTGGGACGCCGTGGCCCGCACGGTCCGACCGTCAGCAGACCCCTCCCCCTCCTCCCCACACTGGTTCAAACAGTGGAGCCGTTGGCCGCTGGGCGCAATGGCGATTGTGGTGTGGTCGCGGCTTTGTTTACCTGCGTGGCCCATGCTCTCCTCCCGTGTCTTGAGGCTCCATGGCAACTTTTTTCTCCCGACATTCTCAAAGACACTCAGAAAGCAAAAGCCCGTGTTTTGGGTGGATGTACCGGGTATCTGTGCGTAGGCGAGGCCGGCTTTGGTAAGCTTAAGATATCGCGCTGATGGCGTTCACAGTTTTCCATCCCTGATGTAGAAGTGAGTGCCAATGGCCTTCTAGTCGATCCACCGGGCTCCAGTGCGTTCTGATTGCGCCGGCATCTGGACCTGATGGTTGTCGTCGAGCTTCGTTGTAAGCGCGTCTCCACTTGTTGAGGCGCCCGCCGTAATGTAGATGACATAACGTATGCGAATTGCTGACGTTGCGTGGGTGTTTTTCCAGCTTTGTCTGAGGTCATCGTATGTACAGTGATGCTGCTAGGGCCTTATAAAGAGAGCTTGGGTCGTGTATTGTGGACTGGAAAAGGCCAGCAACAGTTCTTTGAAACGGGCAGCAAGACAAGATTTCGGTCCAGCGGAACGTGCCTGGAGGTTAAGTGACGTCATGCGGTGACCTTGGCGGCCGGTGATATTTCTGTGTGGACTGATCGGTGTGAGCACAATGCCGTTAGCAACCGAGCACACCCTGGAAAGAACTTCACCCTTGTTATGCAATAAGTGGAGTTTTGCCGCCACCGCGCTGAGAGCAATACATTCTCGAAGCATGGCATGCGCTCCTCACAAAGAAATTGGCAGAAGCACAATAGGTTTATTTAGCCCTAATGTCTTGCTTGTTTGGACTCAAAATTGCCCCGGGTGCGCTCCGCCGCTCCCGCCTGCCAACTGTGCATTATTGATGAGCCGAACACGGGAAGGAAATTGGCGCGCCCGGGCCCAATGGAGGGTGCGCCGGCCGCTTACTGCGCTGTCTGCACGGGCGGACGGGCTGGCGAGCGCCGCCCGCCGACAGAGCTGCCGCAGCGGGGCGGGGCCACGAGCTCCTGGTCCGTGGCCCGTCCTAACTGGTGGTCAGCGGCCACTGCTCCAGTCGGAGAGGCGGCACGTTCATAACACACTTTGCCAACGTGTAGGTTTGGGCCAGCGCGTCCCCCCTGTTTACTGTGACACTGTCGTGTTTCCCGTACGCATAGTCGGGTCCATGGAGCTGTTGGCACGCTTCTGTGCTCGCCGTCGGCTATCGGTCGGTGCCGTGGAGCTGATGGCACGCCTCTGTGCTCGCCGTCGGCCATCGGTCGGTATCGTGGAGCTGATGGCACGTCTCTGCGCTCGCCGTCGGCCATCGGTCGGTATCGTGGAGCTGATGGCACGCCTCTGTGCTCGCCGTCGGCCATCGGTCGGTATCGTGGAGCTGATGGCACGCCTCTGTGCTCGCCGTCGGCCATCGGTCGGTACCGTGGAGCTGATGGACCGTCAACATCCGGCCGATGATCTGATCAGCTCGGCTCTTTGTCCGGGCCCACGCACGCCATTCCAGCTCAGGCCGCTTTTCCCGTTTGAGGTTTTTCGTTCGCGTGCGACCCAATCACTTACGGTGATCCACCTGAGGTGGAACGAAAACCGGCAGAAGCGCTTCGGACGGTGCGGTCGGCGTCTGCCGGATCGGACGCCGCCGCGTGACTCACACGGCGTGGGCGGCGCGTCCTCGGAGTACCACGGAGTACCACGGAGTACGACCGCGTGCCTCCGGTCGCCGTCCACGTGGTGAGGCCGCCTCCGCTCCGCTCTGCCATCCCGAGTCTAGTTCGCGGCCGGCCGACATCGACATCCGGGGTCGAAAACAAAGCTCATCGCCTCCGAGTGGCGCCGATTGTTCTGTGGCTGTTGGTGCTGGCGGCGGTGCGCCGGCATTCTCGGCACGTTGGCCGGCGGCGCCCAAGTTCGCAGCCGCTCGGCGTGATTGGAAGGCCCGGCCAGGATGGCCCCGCGGCGGCCAAGCGGCATGCCGCCTGATGAGATGGCCGCGGATCGAGGGCGGGATGAGGCTGGCGGGGCCGCCGCCTCCCGGGGTCCCGCCCCTTCCCCGGGCCCCACCGCCCCCGGGCCCCGCTGCCTTTGGGGCCCGCCTCCCCCGGGCCCCACCGCCTCCCGGGGTCCCGCCCCTTCCCCGGGCCCCACCGCCCCCGGGCCCCGCTGCCTTTGGGGCCCGCCTCCCCCGGGCCCCACCGCCTCCCGGGGTCCCGCCCCTTCCCCGGGCCCCACCGCCCCCGGGCCCCGCTGCCTTTGGGGCCCGCCTCCCCCGGGCCCCACCGCCCCCGGGTCCCGCCGCCTCCCGGGGTCCCACCGCCCCGGGTCCCGCCGCCCCCGGGGTCCCGCCCCTTCCCCGGGCCCCACCGCCCCTGGGTCCCGCCGCCCCCGGGTCCCGCCGCCCCGGGGTCCCGCCGCCCCCGGGCCCCACCGCCCCTGGGTCCCGCCGCCCCCGGGTCCCGCCGCCCTCGGGCCCCGCTGCCTTTGGGGCCCGCCAGCCGGCGCACTCCACCGCCGCGGTGCGATGTGTGAGGGGCGCCCACCGCTTCGTTTCCCGGCACGGTCCGGAGTTGGGCGCCCGATCTGGCCTGCCCGCCCGGCCCGGCCGTGAACTCATCCCATGCTCGTCCACGTCGGCCGTCTTGGCATTGGACGGTTTACGGTGCGATTTGCGTATGCATTTCGCACTGAGGCTCCTGTGCCTAGTATTGCGCTTGTCTTCGCCTGGGAAGGCCAGTATTGTGCGTTGGCTTCATTTACAACCCCTGGTGGGTTTTCGCAGCCGTGAGTCGTGCTTGTTTTGCAGACCAGGCCTCCGTAGACATTCGCGGTCATACGTCGGCTCCGGAGCAGAGGGCCTGGCTTGGCCGCAGGTCGTGCCACTGACCCGGGTGGCCGCACACTGAGCACGGGCCAGTTCGGGCCCGGGTCGGCGGGTCTAGCTTGGCCGCAGGTCGTGCCACTGACCCGGGTGGCCGCACACTGAGCACGGGCCAGGTCGGCTCCGGAGCAGAGGGCCTGGCTTGGCCGCAGGTCGTGCCACTGACCCGGGTGGCCGCACACTGAGCAGGGGCCAGTTCGGGCCCGGGTCGGCGGGTCTAGCTTGGCCGCAGGTCGTCCCACTGACCCGGGTGACCTTACACTGAGTTGGGGCCAGCTCGGGCCAGGGCAGCGGGTCTAGCTTGGCCGCAGGTCGTGTCACTGACCATGTGACCTTTCACTGAGTTGGGGCCAGTTCAGGTCATACACAGAGGGTTACAGATGCAGGCCCATTGCATTCCATTCGCAATATACTGGCATAGCTGAATCAGTAGAAGCTGGGTGCTGAATTCATTAAAGCCATGGTGGGGTAAGTAAACATTTTGGGGCATATTAAGCCAAAGAGTTCCACACTAAAGGCGTTAATCGATGGGTACACTTAGGCTTGCTTCTTGGTGCAGGTGTCCTCCTCTGATGTCCGTTCACGGTATGAAACCTGCAGCGTGTATGTTCAGGCGCATCGTATGCTCCTGGCTATGTTGGCGTTGTCCGGCATCATCGATCCCCGTTTTCGAGTCGCGGCGTACGCGGGGTGCCGACGGTAGTCTGCAGGACCAAATGACGCAGGCAGGCTGATGCAACTGGCGTCACCACGTATCGCGGTGTCGTCGCTAGGTAGCGAGGCGTGGTAGACCGCTTCATCTCATCTTGAGAAATGCTATCGCTTTGAGTAGAGATGACAGGAAGGTGGTTCTGCATTCGTACGGCCCGTTGCTTGTTCAAAATGCGACTGTAGCTTTTGCCAGCAGCAGTTTTCGGGTGATGGGTTTGAATAGCCTACAACGGCGTAAGGGCTGGCTGGGAGAAAGGCCTAACTGGCCCGGCTTTTGCCGTCTGTGTGCCGTCGAGAAATGCCACCAATCGTTCAGCGGAGCAGCGGCCATGTCGCCGCTCCGCTCCTGTGCTGAGTCGACGGACTGTGACTGACGGACCGTGCTGCCTCCCGCAGATGTTCTCATGGGCTACAACGGCACGATATTCGCGTACGGCCAGACGTCGTCCGGCAAGACGCACACCATGGAGGGCGTGCTGGGCCGACCCGACCTGCAGGGTATTATCCCGCGCATCATCAGCGACATCTTCAACCACATCTACAGCATGGAGGAGAACCTTGAGTTCCACATCAAGATCAGCTACTTCGAGATCTACATGGATAAGATCCGGGACCTGCTGGACGGTGAGCTGGTTGCTGGAGGCACCAGGAGCGCCCCTCCCCCTCCCTCCCGTAGGTCGCCTATGCGGTGCTAGTTAGGCGGGCAGGTTGGCCGGGCCCTTATTACCATATATCATTACGTATCGCGTCATAATTTACTAACAAGATCGTACCGCCGCCAGTATTGTGTTGCCTTCTTCAGGTACGATGTTACATCGCACTTCGTCTGGCTCAGCAGAAGAAGGCTTTGTACCGCTGCAGGCCTAGCGGGGGCGGCGTTTTGAGAGCCCGGGCCGGGCTCAGCAACGTCAGAGCGGCGGGGATGCTTAGTCTGCATCCGTATAGGCGTGACAAAGCCCTTGCTCCGGGCTGCAAAGCCTAGAGGCTTCGGCAGCTTCAGGCGCCGGCTCAGAGTTACGTCTTGCGGTGGGGAGGGAAATGGCGAGGGCTTGGTTCAGTGCTTGGGGCGATTTATTGGTATATCTGTGCGTAATCGCTCGTTATTTTTGGGCGCACATCGCTACCTTGATCAGTGGTTGTACAAATCGGTGTTGGAGTACGAAACAATGTGCTCATGTCGTGTCTGCAGACTACTTTGCTTTCGGAGAGCAAAATGAGCCTCTGAAGAACCAACCCGCTAAACAATTGTGTTTAACAGGAACAAAGGCCCGAAAATGGTCTTTGTTCGTCTGCCGTTGCCTCTGTACGTGACACGAGCTGACTTCTCAGCTCTGTTGTTATGGCTTAGCACTTCGTAAGTTTAAGCGCAATCAGCATCACTCATATGGACACATGGCAGTGTCAGTCTGGGTGATTTCATATCCGCGAACATCAGTCAGACACTCGGGACTTGACATGTACAGGGGCCCCTGTGCCGAATGTGCATAGCAGCCGGTCGTGGACCTCGGCCAGGATCTCTGACTGTAATGTCACGTTGTGCGCGTCTATCCGTGAAAATCACTGCATGAGAGCACGCTCGAAGTGGGACGTCGCCCGGGCGCTGCGGTCGGTCTAGCTGACCCTCTCCGTGATGTCGAGACGGCGCCCGGGCACCGCGCGGAGAGCCTCTCCCGGCAGTCGTGACACCTGATCTCTGTGTTCAGTGGGGGGGGGGGGGGGGGGGCGAGGGGGCAGGGCCTGAGTGGCGAACCCCGAACATGGCAGCGCTGGCTCAGCGCGCAACCCTCTGGGCGAGGCGCGCTGCACCAGCTGTCGATTGGCGGCGTTCTGTGCTGAGAATCGTAATCAGATCAGCGTGTGGCTGCATTGATGAGTCGGCGGCACGGGAATTGAGTCGGACCCTGGCTCTACTCCTGGGTCTTCCCCGACCTCGCTGTGGCCCCTGCTGCTGAGCCAGCCGGACCGGGCCGTGGCGGTGGGCTCCTAGGTCCCCCTGGCCCCGCGGCTGGGCCAGGCAGACCGGGCTATGGCGGTGAGCTCCTGGCTCCTCCCTGACCCCGCTGCTGAGCCAGGAAGACCGGGCCATGGTGGTGGGCTCCTGGCTCCTCCCTAGCCCCGCTGCTGAGCCAGGCAGACCGGGCCGTGGCGGTGGGCTCCGCCTCAGCCGGCCGCTCCGGGCGGGAGCAGGTGGCCGGGCCGTGGCTCGCGGCGCGTGAAGTAGGCTCCTTGGGGCGCGTCTTGTCTCGCCTCGCCGTCGGCCGAGCAGCACAGGCTCGCTGGCCCGCCGGCCGACGCGATATGGGCGTCATTTCCAGCCGGGACGGCACATAAATCGGGCCCGTTCGTCTGTTATTGGGCACGGCGGCGGCCGGCGCCGTGGCCGGCGCGGCCCCGTCTCCGGGTCGTGTTCGGCCGCCGCGCCCAGCCCACAGCTCATAACGGCCACATGGGCTCATCCCCGCCCCGATGCTGTAATAAAGGTGACAGGCGACCGGCGGCCGCAGGCGGCCCACGCGCGCCCTAGGCGCTCCACTTGATCGCCTGGATTTGGCGACGCTCACAAATGGTCTTCTTAGCAGAGCCGAGCGTTGGACAGCGCAGAAGTGTGCGGCCGTTAGTGAGAAGGAGCCGTGCTGGGCGTGTGGGGTTTGGCGCATAAGAAGCTGACACGTGCACTGGCTCCGGTCGTGGATTCCGGACAGCATAAGTGCCTTTGATGGCAGGCATCATATGCGGGCATCCGTTCTCGGGATTCGGGCACACGCCTGATTGGGGTAAAAGAGGTACAGTAGGGGGGGGGGGGGGCGGGGAAAAGGGAAAAGGAGGGAAATATCAGCGTTCCGAAGTTGCGGATTCACAGCACGTGACTTGTAAGAGTAATCAGTGAACTCGTCACGCTTGCAAATGTGCTACTGTCGTCACTTGTGGTACTGCCATCACTTGTGCTCCGTCCCGTACCGCAGCTGGCGGCTGCTCCTGTCCTGCCTGTTCAGCACTGTTCCTGGACACCCAGGACAGCGCCAGAGTCCAGTGCAGTGGCGTCGGCTGCGGACGCAGTGTGCGGCGCGTCTGTGCCCCACGTGCGGCGGCGGCCGCGGCCGGCCGTCGGCGCCACCTCTGACCCCTGACCCGTCTGTCGCCAGTGTCCAAGGTCAACCTGGCGGTGCACGAGGACAAGAACCGCGTGCCCTTCGTCAAGGGCGCCACCGAGCGGTTCGTCTCCAGCCCCGAGGAGGTTTTCGAGGTGATCGAGGAGGGCAAGTCCAACCGGCACATAGCCGTGACAAGTGAGTGGGCGGCGCCGCCGGGGCGATCACCGGATGGGGGCGATGGGTAAAGCCGGAGCCGGGTTTGGGACGTGTGGTCGGCCCGGCGCATTGGTCCCGCGTGATACCCTGTACGACACAGCGGCGACATCTCCCCGATGCCAACACCTCGCCATCCTCCCTGAGCAGGCGAAGAGATACGGCGATGTTCATCGCTGGAGGTGTAAAATGGTGTCGTGGAGGGATACCTTGGCAAGCGAGTGACCGGTGGCGGCCGAGTTGTCTTCCGTCCCTGCAGCGCCCGTGGTGGCTGGTGTCTGACGTCCCCACCGGTCCACCTTCGGCGGGGCCTCTGCCGCCCGGCTGCTCCCGCCCTCTCCTGCTGTCTCTGTCATGCCTGCTGTCGCGGTCGTCCGTGACGGTCCCGTGACCTCGTGCCCGGCGGCGCTATGAACAGCTCGATACGCGGCGGGCCGGCCCCTGCCGCCGACGGCGACCGGCTCGAGGGCGGCGCTGGGGCGGCCTGGACAGCTGAGCGGTGGAGCCGGAGACGCCCCTGCCGCCGCTCGACGGGGCGCCGGGGGCGGCGGGGGCGGCGCGGGCAGCGCGGGCGGCGGCCTGGTCAGTCAAGGCGAGGAGGGGCTACAGAGGCGGGCACACGGCCGCCGCCGCCGCGTCAGGGGCGGCGAGCTTGTCAGCCGTTTGCGCATGACATCGTCACCACTGACAGCGCCCAGCGGTGGACGGCGTATGGCGGGGGCACCCGGCCAGCTCGTGTTTCTCCCCTGAGAAGTGGGGGCTTAAGGAGAGTGTTCCATATTCATGCGGGGTTTAGAACCGAACTAGCCATCTTGAAGACCTTTTGGTGCTGGTCACAATTCTGTCCTTCTTAAGACCTGAGCCCCTCGAGTTTCCGATCGACACGCGTGCTAAAATGGGCGAAGGTATATCGGGAAGAGTATTTCAAAGCCATCTTGGCGTTAATGACGTTATTATAACGTCATTCAAATCATGCCATTCCACAAGCCATGCGGTGATCAAGGCGAAGAAAGATATGATTGTCGAGGCGTTCATATCTGGTGTGCCCTCCACCGTGCCCTGGACACGGTGGAGGGCACGGGTCCGGGCTGGTGTCCATCGTGAGGTGGAGTTGCCTTCAATGCCCGCCGTCTTGGCTGGCCGCCGCGTGCCGCTGACGCTGGTGGGACTGACCCGAGCCCGTGACCAGGCTGGGGAGAGCTGATGGCTGATCAGCCCCCTGCATTAGGGGACCGCCCTCCGCGGTGAAGTAGCGTGTTTTCACCCACCTCGTCCGCGCCCCGGGGCCGGGAGGCTGAAGTGGGTGGCGCCGTGCCATATTGTGCGACCTTTCCACGATGGCGTCGTTTTCTGCCTCGTTGGAGCCGATGAAAATGTTCCCATCCACTTCGGCTGTTTTATGGGGGCGTATTGGTGCCCGTGTTCCCTCGAGAGGTAGCCGGATAGGAAAATTTTTTGGCGCTATCTTTTAGAATTATGCGACGCATCCAGTGCCCCACCACCCCTTACGCGGCTGGTGGGTTGCTCCGTGTGTGGTGTTATGTATTGTTTGCCAGCTGGTTGTGGAAGGATTTATGCAAATTGTGTTGTGGGAGAAAACAGCGTGCTGTATCTGGGCTGGTAACTACAGCGATGCTGCGTGATGTGGTTTATGAGGAAGCCAGGCATTGATTTCCTCCTCCGATGAAGGGATTCCGCCAGGCACATACGGGGCAGCTCTGACCGGCGGCATCCATTGTTGCAGACATGAACGAGCACAGTTCTCGCAGCCACAGTGTCTTCCTCATCAACGTCAAGCAGGAGAACCTGGAGAACGACAAGAAGCTGTCGGGCAAGCTTTACCTCGTCGATCTGGCGGGCAGTGAGAAGGTGGGCACTGCAGCGACGCTGTGTTTCTCGTTTCTTGCTGCGTCTTGAATGTGACAAACATTCCGAACTGAAGAGCCGTATCTGCCGGGCCGTCGATATCAGTGAGTCGCGGGCCTTGTGACGATGCTCCATATCAGCAGCGGCTGTGACGGTCTGCACATTAGCAGAGCATGTGGCCTTTTTACTGCTCTGTTAAATGCAGGCTAAAATTGCAAGATTGCAGTTGTCCATTGGATGCAGGCTTTCTGGTTTTGTTATGGACTGGATTGCTCAACAGTGTGATTAAGTCTGACTTAGGATAGTCCCCAGTCGGTGCTGTTCACGGCAGATAGTCTGACATAGGATAGTCTCCAGTCGAAACTGTTCACGACAGGTTTTCTCACTTAGGATAGTCCCCAGTCGGAACTGTTCACGACAGGTTGTCTCACTTAGGATAGTCCCCAGTCTGAGCCGTTTACGGCAGATGGTCTGACATGGGATAGTCCCCAGAACTGTTCACGGCAGATAGTCTCACTTAGGATAGTCCCCAGTCGGAGCCGTTTACAACAGCTAGTCTGACATAGGATAGTCCCCAGTCGGAGCTATTTACGGTAGATGGTCTGACATAGGATAATCCCCAGTCGGAGCTGTTTACGGCAGATGGTCTGACATAGGATAGTCCCCAGAACTGTTCACGGTAGATAGTCTGACATGGGATAGTCCCCAGTCGGAACTGTTCATGGCAGATAGTCTGACCGTTTGTTGTAGAGATATTTAGGGGTGACCATTATTTGGCCCCAAGTTCTTTAAAACCTAAGGCCAGTTCACGTGGTGGTTGGTTATATTGGTGTGCCAGGTTAAGTGCGCTTTTCAGAAGATTGGGCTGCTTGAAATGGGTAAAGTAAGTCCCCACCTCTCGAGAGGTTTAACGGCAGTGGTGGTTGCGTGGTTTTGGATCGCATCCACCGGCCGTGAAGCCACCAGCTCCACTCCTGTATGTGCCGCCGCCGACGCAGGGGCTGCTGGACCGCATGCTTCTGCTGCTGCTTTGTGCAGCACGCGTCCCGGCCGTGCTGATCTGCAGCTGTGCCCCGCCACCAGCCGTCATCGGTGTCTGCGGAGGGGACAGTCTCCACCCCCCAGTAGGCGGCGTGTCTGTCGTCCGTTGGCACGCGTGTCGGCGTGCCGGTACCTCCTGACCTTGCCGTGCCGGGGTCGTTACGGCCGGCCCACTCAGGCCGGTCGCCGTACCAAGCCCCGGCGTGTACCGCCCCCCCCCCCCCCTCTCTCCATGCCTGCGGCGCCGGCCCCACCCTCGCCCCCGCCCCCGCCGACCGCTCCGGCCGGGGCCGTCTCGCTCTGCTTGGCGGTTGGACGTGGCATGTCGGAGCGGCGGCTGCGGGCACCGTCGGCTCGATACCGCCCCGGTCCTCGGGCCCTGGCGCGACGCGGGAGCCGATACCGCCGCCGGCGCTGCTGCCGGCGGCGCGCCGGCCAATGACGGATGGCGCTCGTGCCGCAGCTGAACCGCTCACGCGCGCGGATTGGCTGTGGCGCGCGGCGTGTCAGGCGGCGGCTGCCGGTCACATCCGTGGGTCTGCCGGCCGTGGCGCCATCGCCCGTCGACCCCCCCCCCCCCCCCCTTCTCCCCCGCCGCCTCTCTGCGGGCGGACCTTCTTGTCAGCTCCAGGTTCACTGGGCGGTCCCTAATGAATGGCACGGGTCCTTGCTCATCAATCACGGATATTCTGTGGGGCGAACGACGGCGCGCTCCGCCGCCGTCTCGCCGCGTAGCCGCTGGCGGGAGGCGGGCAGGACCCCGCGACACCCAGACACGACTAGGGTACTCTGCGGCATGGACAACGACGCGCTCCGCCGCCGCGTCGTCACGGGGCCGCTGGCGGGAGGTGGGCAGGACCCCGCGACACCCAGACACGACTAGGGTACTCTGCGGCATGGACAACGACGCGCTCCGCCGCCGTCTCGTCACGTGGCCGCTGGCGGGAGGTGGGCAGGACCCCGCGACACCCAGACACGACTAGGACACTCTGCGGGGCGGACGACGGCGCGCTCCGCCGCCGTCTCGTCACGTGGCCGCTGGCGGGAGGCGGGCAAGGCCCCGCGAGACCCAGACACGGCTAGGGCTGGCTGGCCGGCCGTGCGCACCCGATGCTGGACTGACGGCGTCGTGGCCCGACTTTGGCTCGGGAGATAGACTGGACACTTTTCCCGGCCGGCGGCGGTGTGCAGTGGGCAATCACATCGATTTCTGCGGCCCTCTGTTGATCTGGAACTGGAAGGCGTCGGACGTGGCTGGCCGGCCAGCTGACGCAGACATACTGACGCTGACAGCTGGAGATGGCGCGATATCGGGAGGTATCTGGGGATCACAAGCTTTTGTGCCGAAAATAAACGACTTTCGATGTGCTGTGAGATGCGGGTTAAACGAAGATATCAAGCGACGGTTGGAGCATATTGTAGGATATAAGGATGCTCTTCTTCTCAAGACCGTGTGTTCGGCGCCTCAGTCCCCGGGCCGTGGCCCGGGTACGGTCATGATGTTTCAAGGCACTGTCTTGAAACGTCGAAGCGTCTTGAAAATGATTGCTTGGCGCGTTCGTGCAACCAACACGCCCTGGTGTATTAGGGTCAGTAATTTTCAGCATAAGCACCGATGCATCCGAAAAACGAGGGGCTTTGCCATTCTTGCCTGTATCTGTAATGGGGATCGTGAATTTCATTGCGTGCCGTCAGCTGGGGATGTGTGGGACAGCTGCTCCACTGGTGCGCCGTCTTGTCTCGCCCGCCCGACCAACTCTTACCACGTGTGTCCCTCCCCCAGGTCAGCAAGACGGGCGCCGAGGGTACCGTGCTGGACGAGGCCAAGAACATCAACAAGTCGCTGTCGGCGCTGGGCAACGTTATATCGGCGCTGGCCGACGGCAACGTGAGTGTCGGGCGCGGCACCGGCCCCTCAGGGAGGCAGATACATGGGATTAGCGCGGCTCCTGGCAGCTGGAGAGGCCGTCCGGCCAGATCAGCGATATTGTGGAGGGAGGCCAGCGCCAGACGCCTGTCGGCGAGAGCCGGAGGGGGCGACTGTCATTGGTGGAGAGATGGCGGAGCGGTGGGAGAAAGAAGAGCAGACAAGATGCTGTGGGATCTCTCCATCTGTTGCGTCTTCTTCGTCGGGTGAATGTATGCTTTCTTGTCCCAGGTGGAGGGGGAGGGGATCCGTTCCGAGACTGTCGACCACGAAATAAACTAAAATGTCCGAAAGAAACTGCCTTATCGTTGTGTCCAAGTCGCGTGAGGACATGCGTTTTGGTGATCTGTGTGACAAAACTGGGGCGAGGTGGTCGTGTCCTAGGAGATTAACTCTGCCCCCGAAACTTAGTTAGCGACATAAAAACTGTCATGCTTGACTGATCCGTGGGGTGCCTTTTTGTCAAGAGTTGTGTCCCCGCCTTGTTTATGACAAGTTTTGACACCAGGGTGGGCGAGACGGCTGGCGGCCATGCGGAAAGGACACTTCCGCTGTGTCACTGTTTGGTAGTTTGGTGCGAGATGATGCGGCCGGAGACAACTAGTGAACACTTCAATATTTGGGTTGTTTGGGATTTGTTGGGTTGAAAAAGCTATCTTTATCGTCAGAAGCGGGCGCCCGTCGCAGGAAAATTTCGTTAGGACTGTCCGGCAGGTTTAGTCCTAAGAGCTGCTTTGCGAGTTATAGTGGAAAAGACTGTTCTAGACAGCACAATGTCTCTGTCTAGTAAATACTTTCTTCAATATGTCATTGTTTGATCGCGCCGTCTCACCCTGCGCAATATTGATTGAGAGCCAATTGACGGCCGTTATATCTGGAAAACGTGCTTACAAACGCCAGATATGAAAGACTCGGTAATGACGGTTTCTTGGCCTTGATCGCCGCTTGGCTGATTGACAGGATTTGAATGACGTTATTATGGCATCGTCGATGCCTGGGCGGCATTGAAAAAGTCTCCCCAAAATAGTTTGCACATATTTGTGGGCGCATATTTGTGGGTATAGCTCAGAAACTAGATGGGCATAGGTCTTAAAAATGACGAGACTGTGAATTGCGTCCAATGATCTTTAAGATAGCTTTCTCAGTTCAGACCCCTGTATAAATGTGGAACACTTTCTTTAAGCTATTTGTGAGTGTCTCATTTTACATAGGTATGGTCAATGTGTAGACACACACGTGGTGGGTGTAGCTTCACGTGTACACAATGTCAACGTACTGCTTTTGTTCGTCTGTGGTTGCTGTATAGGTCGGTTGTTTTTGTCGTCGATCCGATCGTCCGTTGAGTATTCAAGTTGGTGTGAGAGGGCGGGGTGGGCTGTTTATTGGAACATCTTTGCGACGGATGCTGTGAGTATTCAGAAGGCAAATAAATGGCTTCTTGTGAGCAGGGAACCCGTTACTTTTTAACACTTTAACTCAGAGTGATAAGGACTGTTAGCAAAGCGTGGCTTATCTGGCAGAAAACCATTGTCCGTCGCGAGAAGCGTTTGGCTCGCCGTGTGAGGCTGTGCCTGCTGTGGGGGTTGATGTGATTCTGCCGTGTGAGCCTGTCCCTGCTGTGAGGGGCGATGTGACTCCGCCGTGTGAGGCTGTGCCTGTTGTGAGGGGCGATGTGACTCCGCCGTGTGAGGCTGTGCCTGCTGTGAGGGGCGATGTGACTCCGCCGTGTGAGGCTGTCCCTGCTGTGAGGGGCGATGTGACTCCGCCGTGTGAGGCTGTCCCTGCTGTGAGGGGCAGTGGGTCTCCGTCGTGTAAGGCTGTCCCTGCTGTGAGGGGCGGTGGGGCTCCGCCGTTTGAGATTGTCTCTGCTGTGAGGGGCGGCGGGCTGTCCCTGCTGTGAGGGGCGGTGTGACTCCGCGTGTGAGGCTGTCCTGCTGTGAGGGGCGGTGTGACTCCGCCGTGTGAGGCTGTCCCTGCTGTGAGGGGCGGTGTGACTCCGCCGTGTGAGGCTGTCCCTGCTGTGAGGGGCGGCGTGACTCCGCCGTGTGAGGCTGTCCCTGCTGTGAGGGGCGGTGTGGCTCCGTCGTGTGACGCTGTCCCTGCCGTGAGGGGCGGTGGGGCTCCGTCGTGTGACGCTGTCCCTGCCGTGAGGGGCGGTGGACTCCGCCGTGTGAGGCTGTCCCTGCTGTGAGGGGCGGTGGGGCTCCGCCGTGTGGGGCTGTCCCTGCTGTGAGGGGCGGTGGGGCTCCGCCGTGTGAGGCTCTCCCTGCCGTGAGGGGCGGTGTGACTCCGCAGTGTGAGGCTGTCCCTGCTGTGAGGGGCGGTGGGGCTCCGTCGTGTGAGGCTGTCTCTGCTGTGAGGGGGCTGAGCGGCTTGCGGCGTCACTGGTATCGATCTGTCTGGCCCAGAAGGCCGCAGAACGGGCCGGCGTCGGCTGCATCGGCCCCACTCAAGACAGCCGGTCGCGCTGTTTAACTGCTCCGGGTACATCGATCGGAATCAGAGGCTCGTTTCGACGAAAACAGATGTGGATGACTGGCGTGTTAGTGGTAGCCCTGATGGTTTTGGTAATGGTGTTGTTGCTTGCACATTGTATTTTGCATGGTAAGCTGCAGCCTTGGAACAATGGCTACATAACAATTCGTCCCTATTAATGCTGCATGTACTGCCCCCTGGTTTCGCACAAGTTGGTCTGTGAGGCATTCCGCCATTTGTTAATCAGAATACTTGCACACAGGCGGCAGATCTTGAGACAGTGGCGTCGGCTGAGAATGAGCCAAGGATAAGTCTGCCATGAGCACTTTGTAGCGCTGCTTCTAGTCGTTCTCTAGCAAACCAGGATTGGGCGGGCGAGGCTTGGAAATTGTACCAATAGTCTGCGAATGTGCGAGCTGACCTTTTCGCCCATGGCTGCCGTTGCAGAAATCCCACATCCCGTACCGCGACTCGAAGCTGACGAGGATCCTGCAGGAGTCGCTGGGAGGCAACGCCCGAACCACCATTATCATCTGCTGCTCGCCAGCCTCCTACAACGAGTCGGAGACCAAGTCGACTCTCGACTTCGGCCGCAGGTAACTTCGTCGTCATGCCTGCGCCGCTGATCGCTCTAGCATCATCAAGCGGCGGTGCAGCTGTCACGCAGCGCCAGCCCAACTGGCGGTGCTGAGAGGCACGCAGCTGGAGCGAATTGGTATCGGGCCGATCATGGTACGGTGTACGGTGTTCGGTGTTCGAGACGCGATGTTCGGTGTTCTGTAGCCGTCCTCTCCCCGACTTGGTCATTGACTTGCCTTGTTCAGTGTCTGGGTCCTGTTCACGGACCGGAATGTGCAGTGGTGGCCGGGTCTTGGTTGGCGAACCAGCGGCGTGCTGTCTCGAATTCTCGGCTATTCGCGCTCGCCGTCGGCACGTGCCCTCGCTCGGAGCACCTCCAGCGCTGAGAGCAGTCAAGAGCTGTGGAGAACTGGCTGAGTGCTGGAACGGTGTCGAGATGAGCGCTTGTCCCCGCCGACGGGCGGGCAGCCGGCGCCGAGGAGAGGCGACGTCACGCCCCGGGGTCCCGGTCCCGCCCCCGGTCCTGTCGTCTGAGGCGTGCTCCGGCCGACGGGCGGGCAGCCGGCGCCGAGGAGAGGCGACGTCACGCCCCGGGGTCCCGGTCCCGCCCTCGGTCCTGTCGTTTGAGGCGTGCTCCGGCCGACGGGCGGTGATCGGCGGGCCCCGACTCCGGCTAACACCGACTGTGCTCGTGACACCGTCGCCGCTGCCGGTGTCCTGGGCGTCCTCGTCTGTCGGGGAACCCGCTGTGTCGCCAGCCGCCGGCCGTAGCTGCTGTCCACCTCGGGTGCTGGCGACCCCGCCGTCTCAGGACGTGGCTGCTACCTGCCTCGGATGATGTGACACCGCTGTCCACTCGCGTTGGCTGCTGTCCATTTCGGGCGTCGGTGACCCCGCTGTGATGCTGTCCACCTCGGGTGTTGTGACTGTGCTGTCCACTCTCTGTGGCTGCCGTCCAATTCGGGTGCTGGTGACCCTGTTGTCTGCCGACCGGCGCTGCTGTCCGTGACGCCGGCTGGCAGCCACCCGCAGGTGACCGGGTCCAGTGGATGTCGTTAGTCGCCGTCCGCCATTACCTGAACACGCTGCGGCCCGACAGCTAATTACCTGGCCCGGCCGGCACGTTATTGACGAGCGGTGTGTCGTCTGCCTCGCGGGCGCCTCCGACTGCTAGCCCCACCGGGGCGCCGGGCTGAACTGGAGCCCCCCTCCTGCCGGCGGTGGAGGACTCGCAACGCTGTCCCGGTGCGGCTCGCTGCCGACCACGTCAGGCGGGAGCTGCCACTGGCACATGCGCTTACACTTGTCTTGGGCTGCGAGGTCGGAGTCACTGCCGGCCGCGGCTGGGTAGCGGTCTCTCTGGATTGGGGACTGATATCCCCAGGCCCAGATCCAGACCCCTGATATTGCCCCGAACCCAGTGCGAGGACCCCAGCGAGAGCCAGCAGGCTCTGGGGCTGTCGGTTCCACAGCCGGCTTACCAGCAGGTCAGGAGCTCGCGGCCGCCTGTGGTGCTCCTGGGTGCCTCTGGGTGCTCTGGCTGGGCGCACGGCCTGTCGCCGTCCGGGTCCTATGCCTCGGTCGGATCTCCTTCGCTGTCGGGGGCGGGTGTGGCATCGCTGGCGTCCGCCTCGTCGCCGGCGGCTGGCCGCTCTCGTAAACCATTACAGATTTAAACTAACGGCCGACCGAGGCTTACTGCTGGTCCGGGTCGGGCCATCTCCATGGGCAAAGTACGCCCGAGCGCTGTGGGTGGCGTGGAAGACGGCAAAGTTGGCCCGGCGCGTGCGGGGTTGTCAGGCTCGTAGCTGATGTATGCCACACCGAAAGTTTCCCCTGGTCGGAAAGTTTCTCATATCGGAACAAATGGCCGGGCTAGAACTCGCCGCGATTGCAAACATATCTCAGCCAGCGCCCAATCACAGGTCGGGGACGCTCCACCTGAACCTGGAATGGGGAGAGCAGCGTCGGAAATATAGATTGGCTCTGGCGCTTCGCTTTGGGGAGGGGGGGGGGGCATTGTCAAGGCTGCAGGAAAAGCATTGAAAATTTTTAGACGTGCTGGCCGGTGGATGTGAGGGAAAGTTCCCTTCACTCTCACTTTGTCGATAAATGATACGCACATTTCCGTGTATGGTTGAACTTTGAATTACCTGTATTGATATCGCGTATGGTACATTTTGCATTAAATACATATATGTGTATGTTTATATATGTATATGTATGTATATATGTATGTTTATATACATATATATATATATGTATGTATATATATATATATATATATATATATATATATATATATATATATATACACATATATATGCCGTGCGTACTTGCGCGCGAAGCTCTTGTACGATCCTTTTTTTAATGTATTTTAAGTTGGCCACGGCCATGTACGTGTGGTTACCGCCGTCCGTCCCTCCGCACTGGCCTGTTGAGCTGAGCGCCCAGTTCTGAGTGCTGACACCAGCCCTGACCTGGATGTTCTGACCCGGACCATGGCGTCCGTCCACCGACCTGAGCCTGCTCGCGCTGACCGGGGCGGCTGCCGACAGGGCCAAGACGGTGAAGAACGTGGTGACGGTGAACGAGGAGCTGACGGCAGAGGAATGGAAGCGGCGGTACGAGCGGGAGCGCGACAAGAACGGCCGGCTGCGCGGTCAGGTGGAGCGGCTGGAGGAGGAGCTGCGCCGGTGGCGCGCCGGCGACACGGTCGGCAAGGACGAACAGGTCAACCTGGCCGACGTCATGGACGTCTCCGCCACCGCCGGTACGTGACGCGACGGCGGCGGGTAGGGTTTGGTTCGGACCCGGGCCCGGACCGAGCCGGACGTCTGGGCCAGGCGCCGCGGGAGGCGTGCGTTGTTGTGTTCATCGCGGTGACTTTGTGTGACTGAGATGCTCATCGCGGTGCGGTTTGAATCTCGTCCCCGTGTTTCAAACAGAGCCAAGTCCTAGCTGTGTGCCGTCGCTAGGCGGCGTGCGTAGCAGGATAGCGATGGAAGCTGAGATGCGCGTTGCAGGTCATCCTCCCATTTCTGAAAAGGTGGAAGCCATGTGTGTTCTCCAGGAAGGAGATCTGGCTGTGGGCCAGCAAGCCCTTCACGTAGTCCACTCCACATTATTCAGTGGTCGCGCACCATACGCGCTCCGTGACATGCCTTGTGTGTTGGCTGCCGGTCGGCCGGAGGTGGCGAGCCAACCTGCGGCTCCGTCGCCCGCTGAGCGCGCGCGCCTGTGACCGCCGCCTGTCCCTGACAGCGCCGGCCAGCACGCTGCCGGCGGCGCTGCCGGCCGCCACGCTGCCGCTCGTCTCATCCACGGCCAGCCTGTCGGGCGACGAGCGGCTCAAGTGGGAGAACGAGGTGGCCAAACTGTACGGCCAGCTGGACGAGAAGGACGACGAGATTAACCAGCAGAGCCAGCTGGTGGAGAAGCTCAAGGAGCAGATGCTGGAGCAGGAGGAGCTGGTCAGTGCGGCGGGCCGCTCCGGAGTGCCGTCCGTCGGTGCCGTGCCGGCGCGCGCGGTTAACATCAGTCCGCTTGCTCCGGGAAGCGCTGTCACATGAGTGAACGCGTCAGCTGTTTGCTGACCGTTGTTACCCTTCCGACTTCGTTTCGTCGCTGGTCGCCTGCAGGGTACTGAACGGGGCCACCTGGACGCGTGTTTGTCGCACAACAGCCGACGCTGTGGTGTCTCTGACGGACCCTCGCGGCTCGCCTCCTCATGCGGGCCCATCGGCGGCGGCCGGCGGCGTGCGACCGACGCCAGCCCGGTCGAGGCCGGCGCGCCCAGCGCCAGCGTGTCCCGTGACCGGTGTGCTGACGCGGCGCGGTTTCAGATCGCCTCGACGCGACGCGACTACGAGCAGGTGCAGGCGGAGATGAGCCGCATCCAGCAGGAGAACGAGTCGGCCAAGGACGAGGTCAAGGAGGTGCTGCAGGCGCTGGAAGAGCTGGCCGTCAACTACGACCAGAAGAGCCAGGACGTAGAGGCGCGCAGCAAGGAGAACGACAACCTCACGCAGGAGCTATCGCAGAAGCAGGTGCGGACAGCGGCGCCTGGTCCGCTCTGATGGTGTTCTGCCGTCTGGCTGAAGCCTGACTTAGCTGCCAGGTCCAGCCATAGCCAGCTCATATAGTCAAAGTCATATGCGGTGGTTCGCAGGACCGTTTCTTTCGTCGAGCAGTTGGACAGTGTGCTGCGTCCCGTCGTTCGCTGTCTGATGTGATACGCGCTGTTGGTCGCGGTGGCCTGACGCCGGCCCTGCCTCACCAGTCGCTGCTGAACACCACGGAGTCCGACCTGCAGCAGCTGAGGGACACGCACAACCACCTGAAGAAGCGCGCCAGCGAGATGTTGACCAACCTGCTGAAGGACCTGGGCGAGGTCGGCGTGGCTGTGGGCGGCTCGGCCGCAGACATGAAGGTGGGTGTCGCTCGGCCGGCAGGCGGCTGGCGCTGCAGTGGTGCTGGCTCGACCGCCGGCGGCTGGCGCTGCAGTGGTGCGGGCCGACCGCTGGCGGCTGGCGCTGCAGCGGTGCTGGGCCCGGCTGGCGCTGCAGTGGTGCTGGCTCGACCGCTGGCGGCTGGCGCTGCAGTGGTGCTGGGCCAATCACCGGCGACTGGCGCTGCAGTGGTGCTGGCTGGACCGCTGGCGGCTGGCGCTGCAGCGGTGCTGGACCAATCGCCCGCGGCTGACGCTGCAGTGGCGCCGGCTCGACCGCTGGCGCCAGTGGTCCGGAGCACTCGCTCACCTGCCTGTGCTGCTCGGATCGAGCGTGCCACGGAGCGGGTTTAGATGGGGAATCCCCTGTGATTACGATCCTGCGTTTTCGACGATGAGCTCTAGTGCCTCCCCCTCCCCTGTACTTACCACTGACTTAATTATCCCGCTATAATTAACGCGAGGTTGGAAGGCACTACCGCGTCGCTCTCCATGACGCACGGCCTGACCTCGTTTGTCATCGATAAAACAGATTAGTCATTCACCCAGATGTGTGGAGGCAAAGGACAATGTTCAAAACTGCCGTGCGTCTTTGTGAAGCAGGACCTGACGCATGGGATAGTCCCACCAGAGGCTGTTGTGACCATTAGATTGACATCAGACGCACAGGACATGCTGGACATCTTGAGAAATCCGAGTTCCGGTCGCTGCCAACTGGCTAGACCGGTGATAGTACGGCCATAGCATCAGCCAAATATCCGCTCGCATTAATCAACCTGTTATCCCAATAGAAGTGACTTTCTGTGTTTTCACCGACCGGTGGCTCAATCACGTCGTCGCTTTCCTCCATGTCCACGGCACGGTGATTGGCAGTGTGTTGACGGCGGACACGCGCGTGCGGCGCGCACGACGAGCTGGCTGGTTTGCGTCCGGCGTGTCCGATGTGTCCGGTGCGTCCGGCGGACTGACCGTGCCTGTCGACCGGCCGGCAGCTGGCGGCTGACGGCAGTGGCAAGATGGAGGAGGAGTTCACCGTGGCGCGACTCTACATCTCCAAGATGAAGTCCGAGATCAAGAACTTGGTCACGCGCTGCTCCTCGTTCGAGACATTCCAGAACGACTCCAACAAAAAGGTGGGGCTGCGCTGATTTCGCAAAGGTGTGGATGCTTGGGGCGCGGATGCGTGGTGCTGTTATCGTATTTGCTCATCACCGATATGTCACTCGCAGTCCTGGCTTATGTAATTATCGCGTCGTGCTATCGCCTCCGAACGCTTATACCGTGCGGGGTGACGTGTCGGTCTGTGTGCGGCCGTGGACGCAAGTTGAGCTACCCCGTCCCGCCGACAGATGGACGATGCTGAGCGTGAGCTGAGCGAAGGCCGCCTGCTGATCCAGCAGCACGAGGCCAAGATCAAGTCGCTACAGGAGTCAGTGCGCGACTCGGAGGCCAAGAAGCGCCAGCTGGAGGAGTCGCTGGACGCCATTAACGAGGAGGTGGCGCGGCTGCGCACGGCTGGTACGCCCCCCCCCCCCCCCCTAGCCCATGGAGCCTGACCCAACCACGGCCGGAGACCTGACCGGACCGCTGCTTTTTGGTGCACGCTGCCGTCTGCTGTGCCGACCGCCAGAATCACCGACTGTGTGTTAATGTCAAACAGAATGTTCAGCGTGGAGCTGGTAGGTCTGGTTTCGTCATCACCGGACGTGGTCTGGCACGAGTCCACATTCACTTTGAGCGTACCTGGGCATACCAAGGCAAGGTGGCATGACACAGGACGACCGACCACTGCGCCATCACAATGACACCCATCTATAGAGCGACTGGACAGCCAACGCCGGAGCGCGGCTCTCAGCCGTGTGTCCCGGGTGTCCTGGTGTCGCGATGGGTCTGCGTCGGCGCGCTGTCGTCCCCGGTGTCCTGACCTGGCGGTAGGTCTGCGTCGGCGCGCTGTCGTCCCGTGTGTTCTGGCCTGGCGGTAGGTCTGCGTCGGCGCGCTGTCGTCGCCGCAGCGCCGGCGACGGCCCGGCTGACTCGTCCGTCTCCCGCAGAGCAAATGGCGTCGCTGTCGTCGGCGGCGCAGAAGGACGCCGAGGACGCGCGCCAGATGCGCACGCAGCTGGAGGCGCAGATCGAGCAGCATCGCGAGGCTCACCAGAAGCAGGTGTCCGATCTGCGGGACGAGATCGCCGCCAAGCAGACGTTCATCGATCAGCTGAAGGAGTGAGTGCCGCGGCGTTGGCGAGTTCTGGCCGGTGCTGGAGGCTGACTGGCCCCTGCAGAGTCAGCGGCGCCCATTGGACTGCTGAGAGGCGATAGGGTGCTGCTGGGGACCCGAGCCAGCTCACGCGAGGGCAATGCGTGGTTCCCGCGCGGGCATTCGTGCTACACCCTAGGTTGTTGTCATCGACATAGTTTCGCCCAAGCGCAGTCACGTAGCAGTCTGCCTATACTGATCACTTTGTGCGCCACCCGTGCTGCCTGGGATGTCCGGCGGTGTGTTTTGAGGGTGTCATTGCGGTGTTGCGGTGTTGCGGAGTAGGGTACCTGCTGACGCGACCTTCTCGCCCCCGCGCGTAGCCTGAACCAGAAGCTGGCGCTGCAGCAGGACCAGCTGCGCGCCGACCACGACAAGCTGCGCACCGAGAACGATGACAAATCTCAACGGCTGCACCAGCTGCTGCAGCAGGCCGACCGGCGCGAGCAGGCGCGCGAGGACCTGAAGGGCCTGGAGGAGACTGTGGCCAAGGAGCTGCAGACACTGCACAACCTGCGCAAACTGTTCGTGCAGGACCTTCAGAACAGGTTCAAAAAGGTGATGTATGAGCCAGCCTGTGCTATCGTAACAGTCACCGCAGCAATTCATAGCACGAACGTGATGTGACTCACTCTATGTCAAACGAGACAGCGCGAGAGATATCACCCAGAGTGTGCGAAGCCAGGTTTAACTAAATGCGTTTCGATGTTCATGGTCGCATGCGAATGCTGTGTGGTCTCCACTGTTGCACCGCAGAAGTCATAACGCTGGTTGTTGGCGTCGAAAGAGATGCCCCTGAAGTGCCAGCCTGTCCAGCCGCCCGTACCGTCCTCTCCAGCCATAGCAATGGTTTGTTCGCCTGTGCGCTCGGTATCTCATCACTATCATAACAGCGTGCAGGCCACATGTCTGACTGATTTCCAGCAGATGCTGCACTTGTCAGCTTGCGTCGGACGCAGTATTTGGGATATTCTTCCCGTCATGTTCTTCTCTGTCTGGTCTCCGCGGTATCACACCCTCAGCGTTTGCCTCCAGAAGTCGTGTCGTGTTGATTAAGTGTCCCTTGGAATCGCACACTGCCCTGTTCCTGGTCACGTGACGGTGGACGACCGGAGCGGGGTGGCAGAGGTCGCAACGTCGCCTTCGGTGCGCGCCGACTGACGGCTGCCTGTGTGCCGCTGCGCAGTCGGCCATCGGCGAGGAGTCAGACGACGTGGGCGGCTCGCTGGCCCAGAAGCAGAAGATCTCCTTCCTGGAGAACAACCTGGACCAGCTGACCAAGGTGCACAAGCAGCTGGTGCGCGACAACGCCGACCTGCGCTGCGAGCTGCCCAAGCTTGAGAAGCGGCTGCGTGCCACCATGGAGCGGGTCAAGGTCGGTGGAGCCCGCCGCGGGCCGCGGCGGCGGCAGGCAGGCCGGGCGAAGGGGCAGTGGGATGCCGCGCAACGGATATGAGTAGTATTGTGTCGGTCAGTACTGGCATCCTTTCCGGTGGTTGTTTCGCCTTTATTTTGTTGGCTTCACGAGATCGACACACTGATTTGTTAATTCTGAAAACTCGAGCGGCGTCATCTGGGCTGGTGACGCGGGTTGTATGTCGTCGCGCCGGAGCCGAAGCTGCCGTGTCAGCGCGGTGTGGTGCAGTGGCGCACGTCGCCGCCCGCGTGGACTGCTTTCCGAGCCGTACTGCGTGTCCGCAGGCCCTGGAGACGGCTCTGAAGGAGGCGAAGGAGGGCGCCATGCGCGACAGGAAGCGCTACCAGTACGAGGTGGACCGCATCAAGGAGGCGGTGCGGCAGAAGAACCTGGCCCGGCGCGGTCACGCCGCTCAGATCGGTGAGCTCGGGGGCCGAGCAGGGGTCGGCGGGCGGTCCCGCTCAGCCCGCCTCTTACTGTGACGCCCATCTCTGGACCACGTGTTGTGGTGGCGCGGTGGTCGCTGATCGACGCATTCGCCGGTTGGCGTTGTATATGGATGTCAATGTCGCAGGCAAATGACTGCAAACGCCCGTGTGAGTATATTACGCTGTGAAAGCCTGTCCTCCACTGGCGTCTGCTGAGCTGCGTTGCGTGGCGTGTGTGGCGGCGGCGGCGACGGTCGCGCTACGGCGGCGCGTGACGGTCGTGTGACGGCCCGCAGCCAAGCCGATCCGGGCGGGCCAGCCGCATCCACCACCCGGCATCCGTCCCGGTCAGCAGCCGTACCCGTCCGGCTTCAGCGGCCGGCCCGTGGCGGCCGGCGACGCCGACATCGCCGCCATGAAGGCGCGCCAGAAGAAGGCCGCCGCCGGCAACAACCGCGGTGAGTGAGCCGGGCGCTGGGCGCACGCACAGCCGCTGGGGGCGCGGGCGGCATCGCGGGCACCGCAGGGGCTGTGGGGGTGAGCGACGTGGTGGTGTTTGAATTTTCTCTACTGCAGTCGTTGCGAGAGTTCGCCACGTTAGTAGCTGTAAGCACTGCGTGCTCTGCATACAGATTGAAGTATTACTATGAGTGTTTCTAATCGCTGTGAAGCGTTTCTTCGAGGCTGAGTGGTTCGTCAGCTCTGTTTGACGCTCGCAGCTGTTCGCCAGATGACTCTCCGCGGGTGCCGTGGTCACCTCCGTTGACCGTCCGTTGACCGTTGCCGTCTGGTTGCAGACGACTAAGCTGCTCTGTCTGTCTCTCTGCTGGAGTTGCCGCCCCTCGCCTCCACGCCGGGCTTCAGTGTGCACGTGCCGCGCCGCGCCGCCTGTGGCCGGCGCCTGGCCACTCCTCGCTTCGCTTGGCGCGCCGCCCGGGGGGACCGCGAGAGGCGCACGCCGCGGCCATCGCTCGGCCGCGGTCGGTGCCGCCGGGCCGGACGGCAGCTGCGCTCCCGGCGGCGGGTGCCGGGACGGGGCGGGCCGTGTGGAGGCGCGTGCCACGCGGCCGCGGCCGCCACTCGTCGGGTCGGGCCGGGCTGCGACGCCGGGTGGTTGCCGCGTGGCGACGGCGGTCTGTGCTGCTCCTTGTTTGTGTGCCGCCGTCTGCGGTCGGGCCGGTCGGCGGCGCACGCCCCGCCCCGGTCGCGCCGGCGCACGCGCCGGGCGTCAAGACAGCAGTATACTCCTGTTGCATCGTATGTATGAGCTATTTTAAGTAAGTAGTCAATTAATTGGTGCATGTTTAATTTATGGTTGTGCCTGTGTTGGGTTGACGCTGGGCGTGGGTTTTACGGGCCACGTGAGTCACCAACGGAAATAGTCTGGCCGTGCAGGGGCCGGACGGCGGTGAAGCTCGCGCGTACGATGTCTGGCGGCAGTTGACCTCTTGCGTTCGCCGGGTCACTGGATCGGCGCGCAGAGGTCGCCTGGGTGGCAGCAGACCGGACGGTGGTGCTCCTATTTATTTCCCGTTTCCCCGTCCGTCTCCGGCGGCGCTGCCGGACGTTTTGCCTGAGTTTTGCGGCCGGACCGCCCGTGCCGGCGCGTGCGTTCTGGGTTGGGCGGGCAGTGTCCAGGGAGGGGCGTGTGTGCGTGTTTGTTCCGGGCCGCTGCCGGCCGGGGCCGGACCTGTTTCCGGGGACCTAGCAACACTGTAGTCAGAGTCAAGCACATCGGCGCTGTAAAAGTTTCTGCTTTAAAGCACGCGAGTGTGATACCTGCTGAAGGCTGGCGGCCTGGATCGACTGTTTTGCAGCCCTGCTACCCCGGCCACAGATCAGCTGGCAGTGACGTCATAGGCTGTTTCTGCAGGCCGCCTCAGTGCACCGACGGCTTTATTTAGACGATGTTACTTCCAATTATGGTAATAAATTATATCATCGAGATGCTGTGTTGATGTGTTGATGTGGATGCACATTTTGGTGCAACTGCAAGTACAATCATGTACAGTTAGTACGTTTCGCCACATGCTGGTCAAGTTGCTTCCTGCTTTCTAATCTTCATGAAGTTTGCAGCTAATGTCAGTTGATACAGATTGAGTTAATTTACCTGTGCACCTTACTTATGGGGGCTGCAAAGTTATGCGACACCGTGAAATACAAAGCACTGAGACAGTCGGCGTCAGGTGTTGCCGGTACGCTACGGGATTCACCCAGAACGACGTGTATTTGGCTAAAGAGAAAACGACCGATCTCGTGCTACCTTTGTTGCACATATACACAGCCATTCATGAATTACGTTGCCAACTCCCTGTACCATGGCTAAGCACCGGTTATGCTGGGTAAAAACCATCTCTCCCTCATCTCTGATTATGATGTGTCGAGTGAAACATTCAAAAATGTGTCTTCCATATGTCATGGATTAAGATGCATCACCATACATCCATAACATATGCGATCACACAAAAAGCACGGTTTTCTTTTTGCCGCAGGTAAGTAGCCAGACGACCCTTCGGGCATTTATATTAGGTTGTAACTAAATGACAACAATGAACTAAATGACAACATCAGTGTGACTGGGTGCTGCGCAGTGGCATTAGACATTTTGAAGACGGGGGGGGAGAGTAATCTACTTCATTACTTCAGCGCAGCAATGCAGTGCCGATGGTGCAGTTGTTTTATAGCATAAATTCCCAGAAAAATGCAACGTTCCGTTACAAGAACAAGACGGTAACCTGAGTCACCAGCGTTTGTAGTCCTATACATCCATTCTCTACAGAGTGAAGACGGGGATGTAAAGATAGCAGTGAATTAGGGTTCTCAATTGTCCTTGAATTCGATGATGGTACAATTTCAGCGTGGCTGTGACCAAAATGAAAATAAACAGCATAGGAAAATACTGCGATCATGTATTATGACTGCTTACCATTGCGTTCAATTCAAGGCGGATCCAGGGATTGAAGAAACTGGTGGGGTGTCGTAGCATATTATTTATTTATTTTTACAATGGCTGGTAATGCATTGAAACGTCTTATGGCGGAGTATAAGCGTAAGTAATCGACCATAGAGTCGCAATAGTGTTACCCCCGGAATCATATGTTTGTCTATCCTGGCTGTCATTTGCGCGACGTATTCCATGTTATTGCGATGCGCATATGTTAACCAGTTTCTGGGTTGCTGCCTTTATGCAGGTGAAGTTAAAGTCAAGTCACTTCTTCCCTATATTTAGACTTCTTCAATAATTTGTGCTTTAGTCAGTTCTCATTGAATCAGCTTGGTTTTCATCCCTGGAAGATTTTGCATGAGGTGGTGAAAGTCATGTGTGTGTTTAATCTGTGGTGAGTTCGTGGCAGCAGAATTGTGAGGAACAGCTCGTGCATCTACTTGCAGCTCTTATGCCTGCTGATCTATTATGAGATGCACATAGAGTGAGCGGGATCTCTGTGATGGAGCATAGTCAGTTAAAAAATATATATTTCAGGCCCCAAGGTAGATACTCTTTGTTCCTGTCCATCAAACTAGGCACATTAATATCGGTTTTGTACTTCCAGTACAATAAGGTAACATAAACAATGCATGATTTCAAGGCTGCACTCAACAGATCCTATTTAGGGACTACAGAGTTGTTTCTTACCCAGCATAGCCAGTGCATAATCATGGTGAGGGAATTTGGCAACATAATTTATGTGCAGCTGTGTCTATGTGCAGCATAGATGGCATGATATTGGTTTTCCCCACATGCATATCATTCTCAAGCTGTCATCTAGTGCATCATCATTTCTGTTGAAAATTGGTAGCAGCAAAATTTGTTAGGTGTTAGTAAATTCTAGGTTTGGATTCATGGTATTTCTTCTCAGGGAGGAGAACTGACAACAAGACAACTCATAATTCTGTCATACATGGTCGGAATTGATGTCATGCATTGTGAGCTCCACCCAAAATGATTGCACAATTGCAAGATTGGGCACAAGACTGTCAGTCTGTATTTGCCAATCATGTGTAGATTTTGTTGCCATCCTTCTCATAGTTGTTCACTTCATTTGTAAAGGGTCAAGCACAAGTCTGCTGATCAGTTTCTTTCATCCAGTTGCCACATGATATGAATATTTGAGGCCAGAAGACAACAAACTAAGATATTGTGTGATTGTGTGCATGTGTGTGCATGTCTGATCTGTGCTTGACCATAAAATGTTTATAGTCACTCGGCCACTTCAGGATGTGCTGTTGTGAGCATTCACTGGCATCTGTTCCCTAAAATTGCCTGTTACCAACCTGTTACAATTATGGCTGTGAAACCAGTACTAGGATAGATGCAGGCATATAGTCAGTCCGAATTACTTATTTCAGAGCTGACACTGAATCCTCCAGAAGGAATATTGGCTGGACCTATTAACGAGGAAAATTTTTTTGAATGGGAAGCGCTCATCACGTAAGTTGAACCTGTTTGTTTTCTTCTGTAAACTGCTCATTATATGGCATGGTCTTGATATTAACTTGATTTTATGGTTCATGCAGATTTCACGGTTTGACTTCTGGTCGTAGGAATGTCGCTTTCAAGCAGCTCAAGGTCGAAGCTTTTGACGCAACACTCATTAGGTGGCATCTTTCAGAGGTCCCGAAGGCACGTGCTTTGATGGAGGTGTGTTCACGGCCAAGCTCACGTTTCCGCCGGACTACCCTCTGAATCCACCCAAGATGCAGTTTTCCTGCGAGATGTTCCACCCAAACAGTGAGTTCAAACTCGACCTGATGGTCGCCGTGCCCTTGCTGGCGATGAGGTGCCTGGCGATGACTCAGTTTGATGTGACCATTGTCTGTTGATATTGACGTTTTGCCTTAAGGAGTGGGATGCCCACTACACACTTATTCGATTATGCCGTCCGCATATGCACGGAGGGACGTTTGTGCGTTCGTGCCTGCATGCGTGAGAAACAATTTGATGTGAAGGTCCTATCATTGGTGCTTGTCCATATGTTCCCAGCCGGTCGGGGGGGGGGGGGGGGGCGCTGCCTGCTGAGCTGTTCCTGCGATGTCAGTGTCCTAGTCGTCTGCTGTGCTGTGCCTGCCCCGTCCCCCTGGCGTGTATTCCTGTGAGCTGCTGTAGGCCTCTCGTCACGCGGACCGTGTCCGGAGTGTGTTGCCTGCTGACCATGTTTTCTGGGGTGTGTTGCCTGCTGCCCATGTTCTCTTGGATCTGTGCTGCCTGCTTACTCGTTTTGTTGGATCTGTGTTACCTGCAGATCGTATTTTCTTGGGTCTGTGTTGCCTGCTGACCATGCTGCATGGAATCTGTATTGCTGGCTGGCACGCGTCACTTCCGTCTGCCCAGTCAGAAGTCAGTCAGTGTTGGCTATTGATAATCACCGCCGCCCGCCGATCTGTGCCGCTCGTGTCTAGAGACCCGTGGTGTGCTGATCGGACACCGTCCCGTCCCGGGGCCAATGCTGGCCGCTGGTCTGCTCCGCGCGTGTCTGCTGATCCGTCGCTCATCTGCCGCTCCCTCCGCAGTTTACGCGGACGGCCGCGTGTGCATCTCGATCCTGCACGCACCCGGCGACGATCCCATGGGCTATGAGACGTCGGCCGAGCGCTGGAGCCCCGTGCAGAGCGTCGAGAAGATCCTGCTGTCCGTCGTCAGCATGCTGGCTGGTGAGCGGGACGAGGTTGATCGCGTGACACCAGCGTGTCAGTCGTGCCCGGAACCGCACCTCAGTCGGCCTGCCTCACGAGACACTGTGCGCCTGAATGACTCCCTCCCCAGCATAAGCCGGGCAGAGCTGGCGCGTCAGGTGACCACGCGCGGGCGTGTGTCGGCGCGAAGAGACTGGTCTGAATTTTGCTATAAGTCGGCACGGGCCCCGATCGCCACGCGTCAGCCCCGCCCAATTGGTTTCGACGGTCGGCGTGCTATGCGACGCTCACTTCATCGCCC